GGAAGTAAAAATATGTGTGCAAACCCTCAGAGTAATCGGTTCGATACCATTGCAGTGAGAGCTTCATACATTTTACCTATTTTGAAGCGATTTCCTTGGTGAAAACCAAGAAAAACCGGAGGGTGGTTTATCTCCCCCCGGAAAAAACCAAAACAGAAACCAGTCTGTCTTTTTGAGTTTTGGGGTAGACCCTTTAAACTGGCAAAGTTTCCTTGAAATCGGTAAGATGACATGTGGCACGACTGCCTGGTGCTCTCGTGGACACGCTCTTAAGAACATTGTAACATAATTTCTTATTGTCTCTCTGCTCATATCACGGGGTCTTTTGCAAAGGCGCAAAAATCACTTCAGGTTTTTTTCCCGAAATTTCCTTTTTTCATGGAACAGATAGTCTAGAGATTTATGGTGCATAACATATCTCAAAATAAGTAGATTCGTTTGAAAGAATTTCAAGAGTTGATGTTATGATTTTCTCCAGGATGGACGTGGAAGGGGGTCCGGGAGGGGGGAGGGAGGGGGAAGATGGCAACAAACGAACATTTTTTAACCTCGTGAAGCTCTAAGCGGTTAGGGAGTTGACTTCTGCATTGGTAGCAGCAGTATCTTAACGAGAAAGTTTCTAGGAATACTCATATTCATGTTGACAACAATCGGTCAATCGTGGTCTGGTTCAGTATCCAATATGAAGTTTGAGGGTTAAAAAATTACTAAATTTTAATTTTTTCATTTTTCTATATTTACGACTTTATCAATAAACAGAAAGGCTTAAACACAAGCAAGAAGATGGTGAATGAAATGAACACTCGTGTCTCCTACTTATATTAGATGTAAATGAAATAAAGCGCCAAAGAATTAAAAGCCTTGCTGCATCCAACCTTAACCACCTTTGGTCACTTCGGCTCCGGACTGTTACATACCGGCTCCCGCGGCTCAGGTCCGACCGAGGAAGTTGCAGCGCATGCCTCTTGTGGCTAGGGTCCCGTCCTTCCGGCCGGTCGTCGACTGCGATGGACTGCTTGCAGTGCTCCGAGGCCGCTGCCGGTCGTTGGGACGGTGTTCTCGTACAACGCGCTTGGGACGCTGGCGGTCATATGGGTCCATCCGACCCGCCTTGAAACACGGACCAAGGAGTCTAACATCTGCGCGAGTCTTTGGGTGAGCAAAACTCCGAGGCGCAATGAAAGTGAAGGCGGCCCCGTGCCGCCGAGGTGAGATCCGGCCTCCCTTTGGGTGGGGTGGACCTATCCTACCCTTAGGGAGGTTTGAGTGAGAGCGTGTCTGTTGGGACCCGAAAGATGGTGAACTATGCCTGAATAGGGTGAAGCCAGAGGAAACTCTGATGGAGGTTCGTAGCGATTATGACTTGCAAATCGTGAGTAGGCGCCTAGATGACGGTATTTAAACACGGCGGGAAAATTCAGAAAGTGAACAACACAGTTATCTGGTGCTCTTGGTGGGATTATGTTGCTATCAACCGGTATGGACGTGTTTCCTTTTTCAAATGCTGTTTGTTGCAGTGAGAGAACCGCTTACTGTCATCGTGGTCAGAGATGCGTAAACCACGGAAGACGATGTATGAAGCAGCATTAAGTCTGGCGCTTTCTATTTTGTTCCTCAATAATTTTCCTTACATACAAGTTGGTTTCAATTTCGTTTTTTTCGATAAATTATCTAGTTATTTTCGCTTACTTAATATTTCATATGTTCTCCTTAAGAAATTCACTGTAGCTGTTCATTCACAAGTCTGTCAGGCCATCCCTCTTTTTTTGGGATGCCAATGCTTCCATTAGCTTATACCTAAAAAAGCTTTGCAGGGGGCTTAAAAAAAATGTGCCTATTTTGGTACTTGTATAACTTTCTCAAAGCCTTTGTTCAATCTGAAATGCTGAAAAATAACATAACTTTTTAAAACATTTACCTTTCGAGGATTTTTAGTACATGCACAGACACGAGCTCGTTCCCAGGGTCTTTTCCCTTCCTCCCTCTGCGTATCTAACGTGACGTAAGCAGTTTCGATTTCATCCGAAGTCGTAACCACTCCCTTCCGTTTCATGGTATTCGTCGCATGGTTACATCGGAAGTGTTCGAAAGAGGACTGGGATTATTTCAAGGAAATTAAAAATGTATATACGGATCGATGTACCTCCATATTCCATTTGATGTAACTGGTCACGCTTCTTCATTCTTCAAGAAGATTAAGAAAGAAAGAGAATAATCAATTATTGGACGCTTATGGAAATCTCTAAGAACCTAGAAGTTTAATCGTTTTACGTCTTGCACGTCAGTACAGTCTCAGACCTGCCGAAGTATTGAAAAATTTGGAAAAAGATTTGACTTACACCTTACATCGTCCAAGAAGACGAGGAAGACTTCTTACACTGCCCGTAATGAACAACGAGCAGCCGATATGCTAGAATTACAATCTATAACTCGATACAATGGAGGAGATCCATCTTCTGGTCGTCATCGATGTCTTCTCGAAATTTGCATGAGTTCAACCCATCAAATCTAAAACAGGTGTAGACGTCACAGAAGCCTTTGAAAGAAGACGCCTTTGAAACGCGCCGAAGGACGAACACTGCAAAAACTTCAAACGGACGTTGGTAAATAGTTTTAAAATAGCACTTTCCAGAAGTTGATGAAAGTTAAGATATCCTACTCTTTCCAACAAGGAGATAGGAGGATAAGGAGATAACAAGCCAGCGTCGTAAAGAGATTCAATCGTACCTTGGAAGAAAGACTTTATCGTTATTTTACGCTATACCAAATCTAATTATGTTTTTAGGATTTACACATCTTGCAAGCTTTGGTAGATGGGTGCAATCAATCGTATCATCTTAGTAGTGGAATGAAACCTTCTCACATCAATATCGAGAATGCAAGTCAAGTGTGGGACACGGTGTATGGAAAACGAATCAGTCGAACTGAAAAGGATCGTACAAGAGCTCGTTTTGAAGTCGGTGATAAAGTCCGTTTAAATGAAAAAGCCAGGACTTTTCAAAAAGAGTATCTCCTAGGTTGGACGTAGGAAGTATTTATCGTATCGCACGTGGTACCGGGACTCGTAAATACCTACAGAGGCAAAGAAATGGACGATTCATTGGGTCAAGGTACCTTTCACGAACAAGACATTCAAAAAGGAGAAGTGCCCGATGGTGCCAGATTTTGCTTTGTATTGGAGAAACTTGATGCTAAAAGCTTCAAATTCGCGAAACCCATACAGGTTATGCTAACTACTCTTATTTTAAAGCGTTTCGATTTGTTCCTCTTTTTCTGTCTCTGCCTCTAAATTCAGCCACTTTGTCCCATTTTTCCAATTTTCCCTCTCAAATATTCAACTTTCTACTCTTATGACTCGAGATTTTGGAGTGACACAAATGGATTTAACCTTCTTGGAGGGAAGACTGGGTTTGACTCGCAATAGACCAAGTTTCCAACGTACTGAAACACCTCTTTCTTCAAGATCTGTCTCGTTATGAAGATCAATAAACAGCACAGGTTCATTGTCATTTGAAAGCAAGCCAGCTCCTAACGGACAACTCCGCAACACCGCACCGGTTCGTGACACGTGAAAGACGCTTTTAAAAGACCTTTAGCAATTAGGACTGCAACACCAAAGAAGACGTCGACTTAAAAATGAATGTATATTTTTAGTTGAAATTTCGCGAATGACTGGATGTGTTTAACATCTCTTACGGCGCTGCAATTTAACCTAAGCATAACGTATGAGAGCGGCGTTGAGTTCACAGTGGAATTTTGCTGTAGAGGTTTCCTTTCTCGGACCAAGCAAATTTTGATGATCTCACATTGTTATTTTGCAGAGGAGGGCTAAGAAATGTACACAGTTTTAAAACGCACGTGCTGAGCTATTTCTGTGCTCATCAGATCTTTTGTTTTGTCACGTCCTCGTTGCTACCACCGTCGTAGTTTGCTAAAGTTCCCTATTGGCTCAGAAGCATCCTTACAGCAAAGTAGGAACTAATAAGGGATCACTGTTATGCTGTCAGTCGCTTGTCATCTGTGACTCCAGAATTGGCTTTGGTACACAAACGCATCAAAATAATGGGATATATCTTGGTGAAGTGATCAAGAAGACAACAAACTTTCTTAGAAAAGGCCCTAAAGCCACATTAAATGTAAATTAGAAATTTGCAAAAGAAGGGTAGAGAGTCAGCAGAAATTACAAACTAAGGCTACAATAACATATCTAGTTTGCTTGGGATTTTCTCCAAAAACACTTTTTTTAAAAAAAAGGCCAGTCTCTGTACTTTTTACCTTATGCACAGAATGGAACAGCTTTTGAACTTACCGCGATTAGCCTTGTGACTCAATTTTTCACAAACCAATTAAATGTAAAATCGATGATAGGCACCTGCAAAGCCGGCCACCTTATGTCACTTCCCCAAAATTATTCATTATATTTTACCTGAAGAAAGTACAAACTCAACAACCATTGCTTAGTACAGCAATTTATCTTCAACTTTTAGCTTATTAGTTTAATGATCTCAATCGTGATGAACGCTACTCTAAGGTTGTTCTTGATGCCAGTTTGTCATATGACCTGTAGTGCGATAATAAAATTTTCTGAAAAAGTCAAAACGAGCTGCTATAAAATGCGCTTGGTGATCTAGTTTTCAGGCGGAGGTCGATTTTAGGCACAATAAGGGCTTAATATTTTCGCATTTTTCTACAAGCTAAAGCCTTGTGTAGCAGCACAGGTATTTAATTTCCGTATAGTTTCGTGCTAAAAAATACAAAAATCGAACATCACACTTGAACCGCTGTTGTGTATATAAGATTAATTATTGATTGACTCTTCGTGACTCTTAATAATAGAAGCAAACATTTCATTTTTACCCTAAGAATTGAGCACCTTGCAGCCCAAGGGCTAAAGATATCAAATTAAAACAGAGAACAATGAGATGACATCCAGGTCTCATTGGTTCAAGACAGTTCGGAAATTTTAAATGCATTTTTTGCTTCAATTTGCATATCTTTTGCAAAGCCGCTCTCAGGGGATCTGCACCATGAAGAATTCGATTTTCATCCGTGTTCTGTTACTTTTGTGCCTTCACATGGCTGATTCTGTCCCTTCACAAGGTTAGCTTCACTATAATTGAACATATGTGGGAAGAGTGAGGGGAAACGAGCCCTTCTTTAACGTAGTTACCGTTAAACACCTGTCACTTGTTTAAAGAAGGTTTTGCTATCATATCCGTATAGAAAGTCCTGTAAAGATGATTTAACGCTTCTTAACTGCTTAACTAAGTAAATTATATTTGGATGGGTGGTGAGAAGGGAAGATAATTTGTTTGAGTGACTTTGTGAATTTCCCTCGCAACGAAACTGCGAAAGGTTTTTCGTGTTTTTTTAAGCGTTTGTGTTTTTTTCATTTAATTCCCCTTAATCACGGAATATCAAAAATTTATTGTGCTTTGGTAAATATGTAGCTTTTTTTTTTGTTGTATTCCAATAGGCTGAATTGCGCTTTGACAGAGTAATATCGCTACTCTTTATTTTGAGAGCAGATCTTTCCAGAGATCATATTTTAGCTATTCATAGGAGTTGTCTCAGTGAAAGTAGGTTAGACCAGATGAAGACCACTCAAAACACTGCTGCTAAATTCTAGCAAACTGAGGAAAAAATGATCATCGACTCCTATAGTTCGAATATCACAAATGTATAGATGAATTAAAAAAGAGGCTATTTTTTGCCCCCGCAGGGTTTTTGGCCCCAGAGGGCCAAAAACCCGAGGAGGCACCTTAGGACTCCCCGTGTAATATAGAGGAAGACTGGAGAAGAGAGAATGTGGGTATTTTCGGTAGATCATAACCAGAAAAAATCTCGATTTGATCGCTTGCACGGCCGCAAGGTATCAACGTTTTTCCCGCAAATGGTCATGGGCTGCCAGTAAAAAGACACGCGCGCGAGGACTTTTAGGATCGGCGTCTTTGACACAAGATTTGTCCTAGTTTAGAGGAAGACTGGAGAAGAGAGAATGTAGGCCCTCTTAAGGTATAATTTTGTGTCTAATAAATATATAATAATAAATTATTCTTCAATGCTGTCTATAAATTGTTCTCCAATGCTACCTATAACATTCCAATGTTAAAACTCACCCAAGTCCCTACATTCTGCTTCTTCTTAATCGTGAAGAACAAACAAATCCTAAGTTAAACCACACAGCAAAAAAAAAAAACCCCAAGCACTTCCCAAAACTACATTTTGTACACTTGTAGTATTTTGAGATGCAAAATTACTAACACCAAAGTACTGAGCCGCAATTCCGTAACAGCATAACAGAAAAATTACACAACTGTAAACAACAAGCCCAACTCAAAAAAAAAAAAAAAAGAAAATGGTACTGTAGGGCGGGGGCAGCTCTAGTGAGAACTATAACTAGTATATATAAAGAGATAAACTGTCGATTGTTATTGAACTTCATCTATAATCCTTTGCTGTCACCGTTATTGCTACTATTATTATTATTAATATTATTTTCATCATTATTTGGTCTTTTATCGTATTGCTTGTTTTCTTATATCTGTATATTTGTTGTTGTTGTTATTTTTTAAATTTTAAAGACTTCTGTGATGCAAACCAATGCCGACAGTTGGAGTTTACGCCTGAAAAAGAGTTTGACGGCAAACGCCTCTCAAACCACGTGATTCGTATCGTTGAGGTCATGAAAATGAAGTTTTGTAAGAACGTGTGTTATATGGAACCCGACTGTGTCAGCATTAATCTTGATAAACGAGTGGGTCAACAAGGAGATTACAAATGTGAATTGAATAATGTTACTCATGAAGGACACGAACTCGAACTGGAGAAGGAAGAACACTTTTTTTATCATGCAGCTGAGGTGGGTTTTGTTTCATCTGCAAATACGTAGTTTGAGTAAAACAACTACTTTCACTTTCATAAACCTTGAAATGATTGCTTGAACTCGCTATTATCACCATCATTATTGTAATCGTCATCATTCGTTATCATAATTGGTTTTTTTCTACATATTCAGTTGAGTGTTCTTGGTTCCCAGTACATTCAAACAAGAGAAGTGTATCTAAATAAATTAATGTACCAAAGTCCTGCATTAATATTTCAAGGTATTATGTTTTTCTCCTTTCGGCCTCAGAGTGCTTGTGTTAAAAACCCTTGCAAAAATAATGGTACTTGTCAAAGCGGTTTTACCGACAAAGGATATCGCTGCTTGTGTACTGCCGGATTCAGAGGTCAAAACTGTAAAAAAGGTAAACCTTACTGCATTTTTAAAAACGAGTAAAACACGGCTGTAAGCTCGTGGAGCTTTAACCACAACTTCAATTTAATTAGGGCAAAACTTTAACAAACACCTCACATTCCATCACTCCAAAGTGAATCAAGCAACAACAGCTGCATTGCTGACTTGCCTCCAGTCCTCTTTTTTTATTACATGCGATCACGGAGTAGCAGGAAACAAGGAATTGTCTTTCGCGAGCCAGAGGGGCATATTGTTGCGCATGTTCTGTAAACTTGTTTTGATGCGAGAAACCACCGGTATGCGCCTGCGTCGGTTTCCCGCTCAAGAAAAGCAGGAAGATACGTCGGAAAACAACAATGGATATTGTATTTGAGACAACCTTTCTTATCATTTTTCGCTATGTAACTTAAATGGAAGCGGAAAAGTCTTAAAATTGTCGTGTGGTGTGTGGAAGGAAGTTACTTTCAAAAATGATTACCAAAACCGGAAAGGTCAATGTCGAGTAAACAAAAGTAAGACAACGTTAGTACTAGAGAGACGGGCGTTACATCGAAGAGCTTATTAGAAATTGAGGAATAATTATTTACCGGAGTGAGGATAAGTCTTTTCAGTCATTAGTCTCGGAAATATCATCAGATATGATCAATGATATGGGGAAATTGTGAATTAAAACAAGTGCTAGTTTGGGCTTCCAGTTGTAATATAAATAGTTCAATAAATCAATTATTTCCCAATGAAATCATATTCATTCATCATTTCAACTGCACAACAATACACTCTTTGTAACCTTATTCTCCAACCTAATGAATTACAAGAGTTATGTGACAATTTGATGGTCTGAAAAGGCTCTTATTACATGCCACACAACATAGAACCAGAGGGGCTGATATTTAATAGTGAGGATAAAAAGCCTTTTTTCCCTGGGAATGAGACTAAATGAGGTCAGAGTAAACTAATGTGTAGAGGTTTGTTGATCTCTTTATGACAATGGATGATTTACATCTATCAGATTTTAGAGAAATGAGACTTAAATCAAAAGGGGACTTACACATTGCACATAATGGGCATTGGCTTGGATGCCTATTTGAGGAAATTTATAGTTTTCTAGCCAGGGGTTTAGCTGTGCCAATTTTAAGGCAGAAAAATCATATATCAGTCACTTAAGAAATTGTGTAGCTCTCACTGGAAGCTCAAACACTCTTAAGGAACATGAGAATATTTTACCTGATCACTCCTCATATTCTTTTCCATGAATTTGGACAAAACTTTCAAAAACTTTATTGGTAATTTTACAGTTGCAAAAAAGGTAAAGACATAAGTTGCATATAGCAGAAGCTAGTTGAGGCAAGTTACAAGGAGAGAACGAAAGATTTATGATTTACACCAGTAGTGAGCTTTTAACACTAATGACTTTCTTTTGAATACCAGCTTGCCACAGTAAATGTCACACCTATCAATTCTGTCAATAGTGCCAACTATACGTAGTGGGGTCACTTCACATCTCCCTAAACAGCAGAGAATATAAAAGTTAAGTTCCAGCCCCTCGAGTAATTATTCATTTGTTGTATCACTCGTCTCATATTTTAAGAACCAGAGAAAGTTTGATAATTTTTAATCTGCGAGTTTCGTGGTACAATTTGACTCAAAATTCATTTCGTACGACCGAAGTATTCTCCTGAAATAAACAAGACACAATGGAGCTGACGCCATTCGTTTCGAATAACACATGAACGTGAAGAAAACGGCACCAGTTTGAACTCATGAGGCAAAGCACACGCATTTTTTTTCAGGTAAATGAACTGATTAGACCGAAAGCTAAATAAATAAACCATGAACTGACAGTGGTGAGGGATTTGGGGGCCATGTGATTAATAAGTTTTGCCGAAGTTTATCCTCTAGTTAGCACTTCAAGCCCAAAAAGGCAATTAGAAAAATTCAAACCAAAACACAGCAACAAAATAATATAAAACCGGAGATAATTGAGGCAGGACTATAGAAGTTGTTTAGACCGTTGCCTACGTACCATGTACAACAGACTTGGAGAGCAAAAAGGCCAAAGGCATTTGCGAGCCATGGCTTGGAAAATCCACCTGAACCTGCCAAAAACGAATTCGCTGAAGGATGTCGTAAGAGCAACTCAATCCTGAAACTGGAACATTTTTTAAAGCCTTGTTTCCTAAGTGACTACAAAGAGGAAGAAAAGACGATGCTATTTGAAGTGATTTGAAGCTTGGGGCCACCTCGAACTTAACGCAATTTCACTTCAAAGTTGAAGTAAAATAAGATCAAATTCTAAACTACCTTCTATTACCGAAACGAATATCTCACGATCGTCTCCACATACAACTTCGTGATTCATAGAAGTAAGACATCAATATCTTAAGATTAACCTTCAAGGTTTGTAGTCTCATGTGCACATCTTGATCGTTAGTAAATTAAACCTCAAACTTCAAGTTTTCGGCCATTTTACGCGTTTTGTTCGCACTTTGATCATTAAAATATCCTCATCTGAAGAGCCATCAAACTCCGCAAGTATCCAAAGAGTTAGAAATGGTGGTAAACTTGTCATACTCTTTCATCCCTCTCCAAAAAATATTACAAAAAGGTGTCGATCGCCCAGTTGAAAACCCGCAGAAGGGCGCTGGAAATATCAAAATGAAGCCGAACGCATTGAACAAATTTTACTGGTGCATGCGCAGACGAAATGCCCCTCCCCTCTACCTCTTTCGCGCACTTACTGGTAACCCCATTTCAAGCTGTGAAATTCAAACACGGCTGAAGTTTGAGATTACGTCAGGAAAACGTTTTAAGAGAATTAATTTATTGTCCCGCGACTTATCTCTTAACTTAAGATTTTATTCGTGCAGTGAACAACGGAATGTCAGGAGCAACTCTTTTTATTCAGAAAATGGTATTTATTGAAAATATTATTGAAAAATAATATAACGACAATATTTTTCAGATGTCAATGAGTGTAGTGAGGGATTACACAACTGTAGTGTTGATGCTGTGTGTAGCAATATCAAGGGATCGTACAAGTGTACATGTAAAACTGGATATTTTGGAGATGGAAAAGTTTGCAATGGTAAATTTGTTAATAGGAAATTAATTCATGATTAATTTATAAAAGTATATTATTTTTAGATGAACATGATATCGGATCTCACGCGAGGCTCAATTGGTTTTTCTTGCTTTAGTTTCACATTTATATTTGTCTTATATGAGAAAATCAAAGCGATGATTTTAACGCGTATATATTGTAGATTTGAACTATCTTTTCAGACATGATTTAGTTTGACGTAGGAAGAGAGGATTGTTCCCCTAATCCTATGTGCAACAACATCAAGAGATCGTAGAAACCGAGTTAATAAGGACAATGTATTTTGAAGAAAGTTCATTGACTAACAACCGAAAATCTCTGTACACATTTTCAGCTTCATCATGTAAGGAAGTCTACAAGAAGAGTGGGTAGGTGATAAGTGCCGATCAAAAGGGATGTTGAATCACATAAGAATAACGATAAAGTGATCATAAAAATAATGATTATGAAAACTCAGAAGCAGAGAAATTTATGCAAAAGCAATTAGCAAGACTCTCGAGAAGTCTGCATGTTTCACTCAATTTTAAATTTGAGCTGTCTCAAGATTAAGAGAACTAATCACATGACCCTCCATTATTGGTTGTAGCAACAACTTGCGTATTCCATAATGTGGGATACACAAGTCGTCGCTCTACAGGCGTTCAATCAAAATTCAGCGCTGTCTCTCTTTCTCAGAGGATTATATATTCAACAGATTAAACACGAGTGGTGTGATAACTCTACACTTCGGATCAGGACCAAAATCCGTCTTTTGTCACAAGGAAGATTTTGGATGCGGAAATGGGGGCTGGACGCCGGTAATGAAGATTGATGGTAATAAGGTGAAAAATTCACACATTGATGTTTAGAAGAGTCGCCACTTGTTTATTGTTGTTTGGTATAAAGGGCAATTCGCTTGCGCTATCATTAAGATAGTCTTTGTTTGGATTAGTCTGTGAATCAATCAGTCATACACAATCTAGAAATTTGAAATAAATACGAAACGAGCACCATGGATGTTAAATTCGTAATCCGCTGTCTGAAAACATGTTCCTTAGTTGAGCAGAGTGTTGAGATAATAGTGTCCTGGGCCTAGTTATTCGAGGACCGATTAGCGCTAACCCAGGCCGGGTTAAATTTTAATCTAGGTTTCTATATCTCTCGGTTCAAAAGCCGTTTAGGATAATTTTCTCCTTATGTTTTTAGACCATTCAATCATCAAATTGAAAACAAAAAGAATAAAGCAGAATTTTCTTTTTAAGCCTTCAGATTTTTCAAGGCCCTGCTTTAACCCAGCTTTGAAAAACCCGGCCCCAGTGTCGTAAATAATATGGGATGTTCTTCTGTTGCGATGCAACTTCTCATTATCAGCGCTATTAAAGCAATTTTTTTCTCCACGCAGAAAACTTTCCACTATTACTCTTTGTTTTGGAGCAACATGACCGAATACAATCCGCGGGGAGGCATGACTGGGTTTGACTCACAGGAGACAAAGCTACCAACTTACTGGAACACATCCTTCTCAAAGATCTGTCTCGGTATGAAGATCGGCGAAAAGATCAAATTTATTGTAATCAACAAGCAGGCTGACTCCCTGTACTCACTGATCGCTGACGGTCAATACCACTCAACCTCATTGGGTCGTGACATGTGGAAGAGACTGATTGGTCCAGAAGCCTCCTTGCAAACAGAATGTGGTAAGGAAGGGTTTAATGTGTACGGCTCTGCCCGCCATTCCAAAGCAAGAATCGGCATTGTTGGTAACGAGCAAGAAGACTGCTTGAGCTGTGATTCCAGGATCGGTTTTGGGACAGGAGGTACCCCTGACAATTCTATTACGTGTGGAAACGTAGCTAGACACAATCCAGGTAAAAAAGACAAACACATCAGAGCAATGGGATATATCTTGGTACACTAACAATGAACAGGGTCGATCATCCAGCTGGATAACCTTTAACATCTTCACGCTAACTGACACAGCAAGTTATGAGTTAATGTTTATGTTTATGTTTCGGTAGGATACGAAATTAAGTGATTTGATGTTGTATTGAACGACACGCAGTTACACAAATCGTAATGTAAGAAGCAATATAAGTAATGTAATGTAATGTAAGTATTTCATACTTTTTGTAAAGAAAATATTAAGTTGTAAGTTATAAAAGTATTTGGCACGTTCTGATCATCATAAAAGGAGCCGTTATCAATTTTCAGTATAGGTTTAGCAGTGCGTTTATTCTGGGTGTTAAAAAAACTAATAAATAGTTAGAAAAACTAACAAAAATCAATCAAGTCAGCTTTCTGATCTAAGCAGGGACACAAGAGATTTTACTGATGATCCAACACATGCGGAAAAAGAACCAGGAAACTAGATAAAACTTACAGTTAATGTTAGAGGGTGTCAATGGGGTGATGGCATTTACGGCTTACGGTTTAAATTTTGGCCAATTTACGGCTAACAATTAATATCTTTCAATTTTTTTCACTAGAGAAAATTTTACGATTAACTTTTTCTACGACTAGCAATTAAAATACGTTAATTTTTTGCCCAATAATACAATTCTTTAGCCATTTTACGGTAAACGGTTAACCCCATTGAGACCGTCGCATAGGGCCCATGGGATAAATTTTGGTGTAATAAAAATCAAAACAGCAAGATTCCAAGAAACATTGGCCTTCAAGAGCGACTGCAAAGAGAACTAACAAGTATCCTCATTTAGCCTCATGGTACCACAAGCGACTCAAGCGTCCTATATGCAATCTCGGGGTTTCATAGTTTTAACAGAAATCGAATACCTCATATGCCGAAAGTGTGTATTATCATATAAATTACGGTGTCATACAAGGATTCCCAGCCCTGAGAAAAGCCGTAACAACACACGTGAAAAAATACGATATTTTTCACGTGTGTTTGATATCGTCAATCAGCTGCTGACACGTCACTCCCCTTTGGCGCCACTCGGTCAGGTTGATGAATGAACGGTAAAGCAGCCTTCACGATTCATAATACAAGGTAGTTCGTCGGAATTTTTTCCAATTACGGTAGCTAAAACACTGAAAAATCCGTATCGCTCACAGACAGTGACGTTCAAACTTTCTTAGAAGGGGAAGAAAACTATTAAACGAAAAGAAAAACCGAAAGTTACGTATTCGAAAGTTACGTATTCTCGCAGCTGAGAACGAAAATCGACACCTGGAAGATTTGCCACTGGCCATGGCCGATTTTGACTGTTTACCTGAAAGACTTTTTCTGTCCATAAGGACAAAGTCAATAAATGAGAATTTTGAACATTGACAATAACGCTCATTGTAGTTTTCATAATCATGATTCAACGCACATTTCCATCTTGAGATGGAAACGATTGTTATTCGGGGACTGTCTGACTGGGGGGGGTTATTATTGTTAACGATTGTTATTCGGGGACTGTCGATTCATTTATTTTCACATGACGAGCTTTGCGTCGGAAAAAAGTTTGCACATTCAATGTGCAGCCAGCTAATTTGCATAAGTAATTCAAGCCAAGGTTCGACGCCTCTTGGTGGCATGAGGTGTTCGCTAAACATTCCAGGACATCCGATAATCGCTTCAAAAAATGTAATTATGCTCCCCTCGAATGAAATGGAAAAAACCGCAACTTCCGATGATTACAATTCTAATCATTTTCAAGATGCAACTCTACTTTGTTCACTCATTTTCCAGAAACAAGAGTCCAGAGAAATGTCTCAAACAAACTTAACGGGTCTAATTAAAAAAAAATCTAAAGGGAGGTACGCTAAGCTTATTTTCTCTGTAGAGACAACACATGTCTTAAAGAAGACAACAGTAAATCGTTAACACAAGGTCCACGAATATTCCTGACCAAATGTTACAGAAACATATAACAGGAACAATTTAAAACACGTAAAACGAAGAAACTCAAAAATAGCCTAAAAAGCGGCACCGGTAAAGCTGATTTCACTTCCATGATCGAGGACCTAGGCCTACGTAAGGTTAACTCCGATAAACCCTTCTTTATACAGGTCATGGTTTTTAACTTTTAAAGTCCAGAAAC